CTAACCAAAGAAATTCATTTAAATTCCTTTTGGGCCTTCCTGCACTGAGTTCTCACCTTCGTTAGTTTTCTAAGCATCCCTCTGAAGAGCTATTTGCCAATGTACTCATACACACATACATACGCATTGGGGACCTTTCAAATTTACCTTAACAAATTCACTACAGAACTCACACACACACACACAGGCACACACACCATGCGTACTTAAATGGCGTAAGGTCTTCAGCTGAAGCGTTGAATGGTTGCGCTTTCTGCCACTGCGGCTCTAACACACAGAAACACTATATACAAGTACATACATACATACCAACATGAAGTAGCTGTTATAGGTATGCATACATACGTGTATGCATATAAGTTTGTATGTATGTTTATGCAAGCTAAAAATAGTTTTATGAATTCTTTTTGCGCGCTCTTCGCTTAAGAGTGCCTTCATCGCACCCCTTTCTCCTCTCTCTGCTCTCCCCTCTCCTCACCTTCCCCACTCTTTATTATGTTTTCTCCCCTCTGCGCCACAAGATCAACATTGAGGTTGAACTATCATTTTTGCCTCTTGAATACATCGGTTTATTGGTTTTTGAACGAGTTCGTGTGCCACTTTTCCAGCGTAGTGGTCACCCCTCCGTAGCAGCAGTGCGCTCCCCCGTCTGGCTAAGCAGTTTCGTTTGAAGCTTGAATAAAATAACAAAAAAAAAATTTTGCTTTTGAATTTTTCATTTCGTTTTATGCCGGAGTGGAAAGTAAGGCCAAACTAGCGGCGGCAATTGAGTACAAATTTTGCTTTTCACTTTTGCAGCTTCTTTCATTTTCGGTTTTGCGATTCTCCTTGTGTGCATGTGTATGTGTGTGTATATGAATTCACGCGTTTGCTAGGTTATCACGTTGTCAGCGTAACACGTGTTGCTGCCTGCAAGTGTGTTGGTGTGGTTTTTGTATTTCTTTCCCTTGCTGCTGTTGTTGTTGTTGCTGTTGTTGTTGTTGCTGTTGTTGTTGTTGTTGCGACGGCTTAATTGCGAATGCGTTAAAATGGCGCTTTTCCATACAATTAACATCGGATTTTCAACAATTTGCCCGCACAAAGTCATATTACAAGCATACATGTATACATACATATATACAATACATACATAGATATGTGTTGACGGGATTCAGCACTTGCGGTAGGGGTGTGTGTGTGTGGATGTGTGAAAAAACACGTGAAAACAGGCAAACAAGCAGGCAAACACTCGATGTAATTTCAGCTATATACATACATACATATGTACATCTAGGTATATACATGCTCATATACATATATATATACTCATCAAGTGCCTGTTTTAAATGGCGAGAAAAAATGAATGGTTTCACAACTCTACCGAGCCTTTTAAAATTGGATTGGATTGACTGGACTGCTGCTGTTCGCTATTTGAACGAGGATCCTCCTGTTGGCTGACAGTTATCGACACTGGAAATTGTAGAAGCTTTCAACATAATACATACAAACATACATACATAACTCTGTGAACATATGCGTGTACTCATATATGTATATAGTCCTTAAAGTTAATACGCGACAAAGCCACGCATGTCATAAAAGTTATGTATGTATGTCGGTATGTATATAAGCAAGTATGGGAACGTATGTATGTGTTCGTGGTCATTCTGTATTCTCAGTTGGAAAATTTAATATTTCACGGTAATAAAAGTTAATTGTTAATGGAACAAATTTCGATATGCCAAATAAAATATTAATTTATTTATTAATATCGAGAGAAAATCTGCTTGAGCTCCTATTTAGACGAACTTAAAATAATAAAAAGTTGCCACCTGCAAAAAATAAATCAAATACTCTAAGCGCAATATTATAACATCGTTTAGTGGATATGAATTTTTTACAAAAATTATCGATTTTTTTTAGCTCAATTTTTTTTCTGTAATAGAGTTGCCACATACAGAAAATAGTAGCACTAAAAAAAATTATAAAAATATATCAAATGTAAGGAAATAAGCTTACAGAAAGGTTTAGTTTAGTTTACTTGGAAAAATTCGAAATAGAGTTGCCAGCTGTGAGCGTAAAAATAAATAATACAATGGAAAATGTGCGCCAATGACAAGTTGTAGCAGAAAATTTAGACGCAAGTTTTCGAATTTTTGATTTTACAGAAAAATATTTTGTGACAGAGCTGCCAACCTCCAATAAAAGATGTAGCTGTTAGGGTATATTACAGATATTTGGTGGAAGTAAGATCAATCTCAAGCAGGTTTCGGGGAAATAATAATAAATATATTCTGTATAGATATATTTTCAGCAGAGTTGCCAACATTCAAAAATTAAAAAATTTTAAAAACATTACAATATATTTACAATTATTAGAAGATTAAAAAAAAATCGAATATTTATTATTATGTTAAAGAAAGGCTTACAAAATATTTTCAGCAGCCTTTACTGGCTATTTTGGAAACAGTGTTACCACATTTCGAAGAATAAGGTGCTTTTCGAAATAATGCAAATTCTGCATGCGCCGTCCTATGGAAAATAAGACTCTTAAAAAGTCAAATATATCATCGCAACTTTGTCGTCGGAACTCTTTTGATATTAGAAAATTCATTTTTATTTAACGGAATCCAGAAACTTTAAATATTATTGTGGACCGTCAAAGAAGCTTCTAAGTTAGAAAAGAGGAAAAACATAGTCACACGTGTAAAGAAACTGGTAGTAAAACATTGCTGATCAGCGAAGAGTGATCAATGGAGCTACACAAAAGCACAAAGCAATAACACAGCTGTCCCACGGAAAACGATATTACGATATTATGAATTAAAAATCGTTGAAAATTATCTAAATATAATCGCAGAAGCTTCTTGGTATTAGAAAATGCATAAAACGTTGTCCCATGGAAAGCGAGACTAATCCAAAAACATTGGTTATTCTCTTTCGGGGTCATACGAATCCATTACCATTACCAGATAATCGTATTTTAAATAGCTTAAAATAAGTATATAGCTACGTTTGAATCAGGGTTCATTTTTATTACTGAGAGCGGCATAAAAAATGTGAAAATCAAAATTTTCCATTTTTTTTTTCTTTGAAAGCTACAGCATATTTTTTCCTATCGACCATTACCAGTCAAACGAATGCCATTAACATTTGGTAATTGAAGCTGGTAATTGAACTTTACGATATCTTTCTTCCTCGATATGTGAAAGTCAATGGATTAAATGACGATTTGAGACATTCATAAAGAGCTTTATTCAGATGACAACTCGTTTATTCAGTCTTTTTCTTCTCCTACGTTTTTATTTCTTTTTTTTTTTTTTTTTTTTTTTTTTTTTTTTTTTTTGCTCAATACGATAATCCATATACGATTATGAAACATACATAAATACAAAAAAAAATTTGTTCCTGCTAACAGAAGTACAAACTCACACACGGTATGTGAATGTGTGTATGTTAATATATATATACGTATATGTATGTATACGAATACATAAACGTACTTTATACAACATTTTATAGGAGGGGAAAATATGCGATTATTGCCACTTATAGAGATGCATACATACATATGCTCATATCTGCTTTTACTTGGTTGTTTGTGTAAAAAAATCCACATATACACATATATGTACACGTATGTGTATGCATATGTGCATATGAGAAATGGCATTGGCAAGTGCAAATGGTGGCAAAGTGCAGCGATTATGCTTTTTAATTAAGTAAATTGAAGCTGGTTGAGTGGTGAATATTGGTGAACGTGAGTGAGCGTGGAAAGTGACTCATGATAAGCGTGTTAATGTCGGAGTAGTGAAAGTCACTTTCGTCCCTCGCAGATAATCATATAAAATTGCCAATTTAAGAACTGATAAATGCCCTAAGCGAATTAGCATGAAACAGTCATGCATTAAAGCTCGATATATGCACGACTACACATGCATGTATGTATGTGTGGCTGTAAGTGATTATGATTGGTTTGAAGATTAGATAGTGGCTTAGTGCTGCATCATAAATATGTATTAAGTATTCTAAAATAATAAAAAATTATGTGCTGTGGATTATGTATCGCCTGCTGTGAGTCAGTTTAGTACAAGCTTTGAGGCAAATTAAATGCAAATGTATGTATGTATGAGTAAGTCTTTCTAATTAGACTACCAGGCCTATGAATGTGCGCGCAGAGCTTAGAAGAGATTAGTTATTAACAGGTAAAATTAATATAGTAGTTTGAAAATTTACATATATGTATTGTATAAGTGATACAGAGTTTAAGCAAAGTAAGCCAGAAGCATTTGTTGTTTCATGAAAAACGAGACTTCTTAAAAATTGCGCATTTTGCTTGAGCATGGCTCGATTTGGCTCGATGCATAATATTGAAATTCAAATACAAACATACACTTTATAAATCAATTAAGCATCATCAAATCATATGCATTGCATACATTTAGGCCCTTCTTTTAGTAAATATTGAACAACAGTGTCGTCACTAGGTGTAACTGAATAAGCAAATATAAATTGCCTTGAGACAGGGGCACATTTTAGTTTCCATGTTGTCCTGATTTTACTTTTATTTCGATTACATTTCATGGAATTTTATATATATCTAAGATTATACTTAACTACTCGACCTTTGAGAGTGAGGGTGGTTCAAAAGTAGATTTATTTTCTGGGCAAAATTGTCAATTCGGTATTTTAATGACTATGAAATAGATGTATTCGGTATACATGTTCAGCGACATCGCGGATCCTCTACACCGCTTCATGCGCTACTGTGTTCCTTTAGTATGGCATAAGAAATATTGGTTATTGAAAATTGTTCAAAGCAACCTCTTCTCCACTTCGGATCTTCAAATGTTAATTGCAACGGAATACACGATATTGTCAGAGGAGTCTCCGTAACTTTCCAAGAGACAGGGAGGGTAGCGGCAAATATTACAAACCATTTCGCATATGAATACCCGACTATCACTCACATCTTTCACACCTACGTATATTTATATATTTTAGTTGACAATCGTACTCACCTGTATAAGCCAAAACGAACGTCCGGGGCAGCTTTGTGTGGCACCAGCTAAGATCCGTTTCGGCTTTGATGAGCCCAAATGTACAATACAGCCACAACGACAGCCCGGTCCGATTTCCTGACTAACCTCCGTGCGATTGGCGGCTGTAAATGTGGCACCACTACTTTCATAAATGCAATCCCAGGTGTCGGCAACGGCTTTGCCACATTTTTCAGTCTCTACCGAGGGGCCCTATGGGAGACAATGGAGGGAGAAAAAAAATAAATTTGGCATTTTAAGCAGAAAACCAACGACACTTTGAAGATAAAAGCTGTTGAGATAAGAAGGAATAGTAAATGTATTTGTATAAATCAATAAAAAAAAAAAAACAAAAAATTTAAAAAAAAATTTCAAATTTTTATAAAGCTATATTCACCACCACAAGGATATTTGAGTCAAAACACACTCATATTAACTTTTTATTTTTTATTTAATTTTCTTTATAAATTTTACAAATATAAATACTAATTTTCTTCCAAAAAATATATATAAAATATATAAATTTTTTTAAAAAAGTTTTAATAAAATAAGTTGATTGAAAACTCCTCATCGCCCTCGTCATACTCCACATCGTAAATGGCACGTGAAGCGCGCTCACTAACCCGAGGCGTTGCCGATTCGCCAATTTCCGAACGGCGCACGCTGCGCGCACTGCGCACCGACATACGCTCGCTAATATCCGCCGACGCCTTTGCAGCTGCAGCCACCTGAGGTGGCAGCGCCGATATCACCGACTGTTTGGCTGTAGTGCGCGCTTGCGACGAACCATAATCAGCGCTACTCGATTCGCCCTCATCTTCATCCTCCACCTGTTCATCTTCAACGGGCACCATAGTTTCGATAGCTTCGTGTGAGGAGGACACGTACAGAGTAGAACCCATTTCAACATCGAATAAATTCTCGCCACCCAACTCACGTGCTTTTGGTATAATTTTACTCTCCACTTGCTGTACTTGATACTCTGTCGCGACAGCGTCGGCGGAGATGGCCTTATGGGCGGCACGCTTGAAGATCTCCATTAGCGTGGAAGCACTGCGTGGCATGAAACCCATTTTGCCGAGACTATACACAGATGGGATGGAGCGTGAGATCGTGATTACCGATGGTGTTGGCGGTAGCTTGTCGGTATGAGTGCTGACGATATCCATCAACTCGGCGAGCAGATCGTGTCGGCGTAGCTGACGTAGCGCTTCCTGAGAGGGTGTCTCCTTTACGCCATCTTTGTCTACGTCTTTGTGCGCTGGCTTATCGATATCGACAGCTGAACGCACGGTGGCTTTGATTTGTGCGACGATGTCGCGTAGGCGCTGTATCTCCGTCTCGTGCTCCTGATGTACGGCTATTAAGCGGGATTTATCCATTTTCAACTCCTCGATGCGTTGCTCGAGATGGCGCATCTTCTTTGACATGTCTTTGAAATTGAAACTATCGCAGATATCACGTTCTACTGCGTTCTCATACAACTTCCGATACTTGGCGACTTCGACGTACTTCTCCTTCAGCCTCTCATAGTTATCGGTGAGCTTTTCGATGATCTTTATTTTATTCTGCGAGTTGCGTATCAGCTGCTTTTTCAGCTGGTCCATGGACGCATACTGCTCTGTCATCTCTTTGTGACGCGCAACTTGCTCGTTGAATTGTTGCTGCATTTTGATCTGTGACAACACCAAAATATCGATCTCTTTCTGCAAGGCAATATTCTCACGTATCAAACGACGCGTATAGCCGGCATTACGTATTTCACTGGAGCGTGTAAAGTCCTCTGAGACCTGTAGTAGCTTCGTCTCTACCTCCTTCTTCAGCGCATCCTTCTCCACGACGGCCTTCTGTTCCATGGCGTAAATCATTTCGGTATGAGCGCGCTCTTTCTCTTTCAGCTCCGTCTCCTGATCGTCAAATTTGGACAGCAACAGATCACGTTGCACGCGAAACTCATCCAGTGAGTTTAGTTTACCGTTGAGCAACTTAATTTCCGAAGTCAGCTGATCGTGCATGGATTTATACTTCGATTCGAGCTCTTTAATACGCTCCGCCGATTGCACGTTCTCCGCCTCGCGTATCTTAATAATTTCGGTGAGCCGCTCTTCCAACTCGTATATAGTCTCGTTGCGTTCGCCAAGCGTGCGTTCCAAATGTGCTGCAACATCGGTGTGATCCTCTTCGATTTCTCGTAACTTCTCCTTCAGATTGATATTGTTGTCGTCGAGCGAGGCGAGATGTGAGCGTAGGCGTGCCAGCTTCTGATTGAGATCGGCTATGGTGAGCTCACAGAAGGCGCGGTCAACATTTGAAAGCTTGTTGGGGTCTTTCTTCTCATCTTTCTTGCCCTTCTTGCCTTTGCCTTTACCTTTCGCCTTTTTGGGTGGCATTTCAACTCGCCGTTAATATGTTTTGCGTTTTAATTTTGTATATTTTCACACTAAATTCCTTGCAATTATTTTTCAAAATTATTTCGTTTTTCTACAAGTCAACTATCCGCACTTCTCTCCCAGTGTCAGCGTTTCTTCTGAAAATATTTTCACTCAAAATTTTTGTCTGTTTTGATTTATTGAACAAACAAACAAACAATAAAAAAAAAACTAAAGAACAACACCGTTACTTGGTAACCATGCAACAAGTTGACATTTTGCATAGCAACAGCAACGGCGTGTTGCCAACATGCCGACATATTTGGGCTAAATGCCTACACACCCAGCAGATTTGCCGACTGGTTGGTTGGTTGGTTGAAGAACAAATTGTTACCCGCCAGCATATGTCGGCCGGCGGCCTGGCAGTCACTTAAGTGCACGAGAGCATGGGTGAGTAAGTGTTTTTGTGCGTGCACTTTGCATGTTCTTAGGCGCTGCATTTACAACTCAATTATGGTGTGCGACTAAAAACAAGCTCGAAATAATTTTATGACATGTCAAGTACGCCTTTCAGCGGCCAACTATGAGAGTAGCGAGAAAGAACAAGCGGATGAACAAGCAAATAATGTTGTGGCATTTTTTTTTTATGTGGAACAGTGGCTCATTTCAGGGGTGTGCTTTGTGAAATTCTCAAAAAGGAAATTCGACGCCCTGGTGCTTAGGCTCTCTGGTTCTATAAAGGAGAGAAGCCCGATTTTTCTTTGCAAAGAGCGTCACTATGTGTCAAAGCTCTTCTTATTCTCGAGTTTTGTTTGCTTCTTAGGATATTATCTCTTCTGGCAACTGTTTAAATGGCTCTGAAGCTGCATACTAGAGACTAGTTGAATAAGGCACCAGCGATCAGAAATGCTAAAGGAAATTCACTTCTGCTTGGACCTTCCGAACCAAATTAAGCTTTTCTCAGACATCATTGGCAGATCTCGCTCCAAAAAAATAAAAGAAAAATTCTGGGCTTACCCGCGAGCCAGGCAGTAAAATATTTCGTCTTTGTGCTCCATTCCGGTACTGAGTGTTTTCAGTGAATCTGATTGATGTAGAGCACTGAGGAGAGTACATAGTAAGCTTCTTTCCCCATTAAATCATTCTTAACTACGAGGAGATCAGTCGATTCAATAAAGTCTTGGTTTTGTGATCCATCATAATCGCCACTTTCACTCTAAGCACCTGCGCAGTTCTATTGGGAACTATGAATACCGAAAAAAGTGGAAGAATCTGCTGACGCACTTTTCGAAAAGAGCTATAGGTTAGCAACATAACCCCACCTCGAAAGTTTTTGTCAAGGTCGCTTCCGCTCCCCATTGGTTGCATAGACAAAGAAGAACTCGACAGATACCGCTTTACTTTTAAGTTGATACTTGAGAGGAAGTCAAAAAGGCCTGTTATCCTGATCCGCTGATGGTCGGTGAGACTAACTAAGTCTCCGTTTCGGGCTAGCAAGTTTCTAATTCTTTATTTTTTGGACGGAAGGGCCGAGTTTACGTTCCTGTATTTATTAGTTTAAAGGAGAGAGGAGTTTGGGTAGGACAGATATCCAATCAGTTCTTAGTCGGAGAAAGAAACAGCAACCGCTACGGACTCGAAGAGGAGGAGCTCCTTCCAAAAAATGCTATAAAAGCCAGAAGACCTGTGTGAGTAAAGGAAGGACCTCTCATTTATTTGAGGGTTTTATAAACAGCTTTTCTATTCTTTGCCAAAAATATCTACGAAAAGGCTAATATTTCCTGCCGTGGAGGGAATGCAGTATCTCGTACATCTTGATAAAGAGTCAAACAGCTACTAATGGGTTCACACTAAAGTCAAATTCGCGTGGAAGTCGTTGAAATAGTACACACTCTTCGTCTGAAGGCATATGTCTCCTCTCTAACGGCAACTTGTAAAGCCAAAGGATCTGAAAACCGCCACTCTATGAGCTCTCATTACTTCCGGTAGAAAGTTCAAGCCATAAAAAGGCTTTGCTATATGAACTCTTGCTTGGAAATGGTAAAACACTGTAACGTCGTCCTTCCGTCCACCCAGCCGTGCAATCATTTATAGCATAACCACTTAAAACTTTGAACTACTTTTGCCCGCAGCGCTGCAACATTGCATAGCGCGTCGGAACGCGTTACGGAACTACACTGATCTCCGCGAACATGGCTTTGCACTAAAAACTAGAAACTTTTCACACAAGAAGTAGTAGCTGCTCGGCTCGTAATAATTTTAAATACCATTACAAGCGCGAAAACAATGCTGGCAGTCACACATACACCCGCACACAAACCCACACATTCGCGCACAAATAAACATACTCATAATGTGTATCAAGTTGTTATACGAGGTACTCAGCGACAGGCACGCAGAGTCATACACACATATAGGATGTGTGACCGACCGATTCTAGGGATCTATTCGGGGTTGGAGGTGCAGAGCATAGATAGCGGGCTCTAAAGTCCTTACAAAGATGTTCTCTTCAATATTATCGTGGTTTTTGGTGCCACTGCTGTTGTTGTTGTTGTTGTTGTTGCTTTACTACACACATGTGTAGTGGGGAAAAGGCGCCTAAAACCCTACTTTGTGGCAAATCAACAAAGCAACTTTTTATGTGTGTGTTTTTTTTTTTTTTTTTTTTTTTTGCTTGTAATTCTTTCAAAAAAATTAAATTTGTTCACTATTTAGCGGTTTTCGACTGTACTCCATGTAAAAGTTTGGGTGTTCACTATACCCAGATACGACTGTATATGTGTGTGTCACATATCTATAGCGAAACGTAGTCATATCGACAACAGCGGCGGCCTTGTTTACTGTCGTCCTTGTTGGCGTCGTCGTCGTCGTCGTCGTCATGATCAGTAGGGCGGCTATCTTTGTGTGGACGAGTACATTTGTAAGTATGTGCAATGCCGGTTTCCGCACTTCATTAAACTCGGAAGCGACATTTTAAAGAGCGCGTGCAACAAGGGGTGAACGAATACAAACAAATACATGCACACATACATGTGCACAAAAAGATTTTGCAATAACGATGATACTCATTAGCAAGTACGTAATATGTGCATACATACAAAAATACCGGACGCC